GATTCACCTTACTTAGAAATGGAGACTAAATGGAACCAATGTTTACCACGGACCATCTTACAGAATAAATCAGTTGTTATTTCCTTTCAACTAGCAAAACCCATGGCTACTTTCGGTCGTGCAATCGCCGTTCCACCATTGACATTCGCCATTTTATCCGACATTTTGAAACAGCAATATACTTTCTTTGTCAAATATGTACCAAAAAAGTCAATTCTTCTAAAAGGCTTGCCTATCATTCACATGAATTGTAATATTTTTTTTGTAAAAAATGTATATCATGTTCGATCAGTCCATCCTACATAACAGCAACTTCTGAAAACAATATACCCATCAATACAGGTAGCAAACAAGTAGAGTTCGTTGTTTATGGGGGGCCAAAGTCAATATGTCGGCCAGCAAAGATCCACACACCTCTCTCAGTTAGACCAATAATTAGAATGGATAAACATGTAAGTCTTCTAACTCTGAACGAAGGTAATTGCCATTAACGCTTCCGCTTTCTCATTCAAGTCCCGTCCGTGGATTTTGCGAGAAAATTCCAAATGTAACAAAGGCTAGGTCCATTTCTATTTGTGGGAAATATATTCAAGAGAAATAGATCGGGCTTTATTGCCTCTTAGCTTAATCCTGGATTTCATATTTTTTGTGTTTTCATGATTTTGAATTGTTTTTGATGTCGGCATGATTAAGCATTATTTATTGTTATCAAATTCTCGAAAGACCATCTGAAACAAAAGGCATTCAAATTCCGACTGTGACTACCATTCGTGACAAAACCTAATGAGCCTAACTTGTAAGATTTAAAATAATTACTCGATGTAGTAGTGTAAGGCGGCGTATCTTGGGTTGCAACCCCCGAAGTGAAAATTTGGCATTCGTTATTTTCAAAAACCAAGTAGCAAGTCAAAAAGAGCATACTCAAATTATCTAGAATACGAGCTATTAGTCCTGTAGCTTACTTTTCGATGAAGATATAAGCGAATAAAGATTTGAAAAATTTGGTTAATATGTATGGGGACGCCATCTTGGATGATAACTTTGATCATCCAAGATGGCGCCTGATTTCAAATTAATTTTAAAAACTGGTTTCCTTTGTCAATTTTGGTCAATTATGACTTTATTTCAAAGAAAAATTACCTCAAGTAAGTTCTTACGGAGTTGAAAGAATGATTTATCTAATCTCGAAGTTTTTATTTACGATCTACGGTAGAATAAATTAGATTCCGCACAAACTAAAACTTTTGTGTTTCGCCACCAAAGCGTTGAATCCGTATGAAAATTTGCATACACACTACTTAGACGTATATTTAAGATATACTGTAAGAAGAGCTCTTTAGAAAAAATTTCTTGGATTTTTCGATTGAGTATGACGTCACATGCAACCCATTGAGATCGATTCGTTAGGTAGTCATCAAAGACAATAAATTGCTTATGTACTTACCGGACTATTTCTATAAAATACTCTATTTTCGAATTCAAAGGTAAAAAACCGCTGTTTTATTTGACAGCAGATTGAGGCTAACCCTGTATTTCCAGAAGGTTTAAACTTTAGGTCTCATGGGAATACAGAGTTTTATTTTTTCAACTCGGAAAAAAATGCAATGATTTTCAAGCATATTGTAACTAAGACATCTTCTCGTGCTTTCTTAATAGTGTACTGTAAGGTCTTTGAGCAAGAGAATCTGTTGTCAAATAAAGCAGCGGTTGTTCGCTTTGAATTCGAAAATGCCGATTTGAGTAACTGGATATAAGGTACAATATACCAGGTACATGTAGCTGGATATAGGGTAGAAGATAAAGGAACAAGGTGTGGAAGTTTTAGCCGATTTTACTAACGCTGCAATTTTGTCACATGTTATGACACTCACTTATTTAATATACCTACCGTGAAATAATGCCTTTCAAAGCAACCACATTTTCCCCAAAAACATTTGCAGTAATGTCGCGAACTCTTGCTTTTCCAGCTCGACCAAGACCAGCAACTACGATCTTTATTGCTTGGCACATGATAAAAGACTAGACCTAGGATTAATTTACCATGCCTTGTTACAGTACGAATCGAAAAGCCCTGCCTGACCGTATAGAAGTATTTTCTGGAATGTTTTTTGCTGTTCATTAACCAATCAAAGGTCGTGTAATTGTTGTGGCTTACGTGATAAATGGTCGTAAATGTCACACAACAAACGCGKCACACTGTCACTGTAAATGCATGGGTGATATTAATAAAAGCTAGTCACTCGTTTCGCAGCAACCATAGAAGCTAGAAAATCCTTCCGTTTGAAGCATGTGTAGGAATACACCATATAATGTATAAAGCTCTTTATCTACTACAATTTGTTCCTCGTGCTAGTCCGAATGATACTCAATACGAAGATATATTGACTAATCAACGAGTATTAATCGATTGAATGATCTCATTCAAATGTACTCGTAGCACATGCTCAATGAAAGGCTTTGTTTGTTGTGCATGTCGATCGTGTGGAGAGAAACGCGGGAAGTTTTCAAACCATTTGAATTTAATGTGTTTTTCACTAAAGGATTTTAGAAAATGGAGACAGAGTTAATGAAAATAGTTCGTCTAGAATATGTTAAACTACGGGAGAGCACACAACAGAACAAGAAAGAATCAGACAAGGTAGGCTTGTTAAGCTTTAGTTATGACTTTGTGATTMATGTCTTGACCGACCATCAAATGCCTCGCTTTTGTTTGATATTAATAAAGTTTTGTATTAATTCAGAAAGTTTGCCGAGTTTCTCAATTTGTTTTTAACGGTTTAACGGAAGCTAAAAAAATGCCGGAGTTTGATTTGCTAAAAAAGCGACAGTGTAATTTACAACTTCTTATCTTATTTTGTACATTCTTATTATGGCAATATCACGCTTTCATAATGTGTGTTTAAGTTTATATGGACTTATTTTTCCAATGCACTTTTGTCCCACTTTTACTCTGTTCATGAAAATGTTCAATGGTCAATCTTGATTGATCTTCCCTCTCACAGAAAAAATTACGGTATGAAACTGTAGAAAGCAACTTATGTCTTAATTTAAGCTTACATTTCTACACGATAATTGTGAAAATTCTAACCAGCAACATCCAAATGTTAACAATGTTGGACTGCTGTAGTTACAACAAACTCTAAATCTGTAAAGTTCATAAAATTGGAAAACCAATCAATCATTTATCCTTTGTCTTGATAGAGAATCTTCACTGCTAATCGTCAAAAGATCAGAGAACAGTTAAAAAAGAAAAACCAACAAACTAGAGAAGTGACATCTTGTCCATTGGTGGCATCAACAGTGTCAGCAGATCAAGTGAATGGCTCAACTAAAAAAGTAAACATGTATAAGTAGTAGTTATGTACATGTATTTAAATACTGTGTGAGTTGATCAAGGTAGATCCTCTGAAGTCTCACCCAGTTATGCACAACACAAAGATATTTACAGTATATAATAACCAGTCTATTTTGTTATTTACAGTGTAGTATAGTTAGTGGCTTCAATCACCCAACACAACACACATTGCTTCGTTTGATGCAGTATGTCCCTCCTATTCCTCAGTACTTCACTTGGTCTCTGGTTCAACAAAATTTTATGGTTTGTAGACTCTACCTATTCAAAAGTGTTCTAGTATTTATTTTATCAAGAAATTATCATTCTTAAACTGTTCTTTATTTATGCTAATGAGGATTTATAAATGGATATAAGGATTTATTTGTAAAAAAAAATTGTTTCATAGAAAAAAATGCCTATAACATTAACCAAACAGCTCAAGGTCTTTTGAATAAGCTAATCATAAGCTAAAGTTATCAGTTTGGGCTACTTTGATCTAATTGGATAATTATGTTATCAGTTCGTCACTGGCTGGATGTAGTGTTATTTTATTGGGCATGTTTACTTTTGGATCCCTATTCAGATAATCAAGAATATTTTTTTGCTAATTCTATAAACATTTGTAATAATCATTGGTAAAGGATGACATCATGGTCATTTAAGCACTATAAGCAATATGATTACAAATTTAAGAAAAAAATATGGTTTTGACAGTTTTATATGATATTGCGAACTATTTGGCAGGTTGAGGATGAAACTGTGTTGCACAACATTCCATACATGGGAGAGGATGTACTTGATCAAGATGGATCTTTTATTGAAGAATTAATTAAAAATTATGATGGAAAAGTTCACAATGCTCGAGGTACAMTATAATCATTTACTCCACGTTTATTAGCTGCATTAATACATAGCCTTTATATTACTACATTAGAATTTTGAATATAATAATTATAACTAGTGTATTGATGATAAGTTTATTTTACAGTGTTTGATGAGTACACATTGACAGACAGTTTGCTTGTTGAATTGATTGACAATGTGATGAAGGCACTAGAAGCCAAAGGAAATGACAGCAAACCAGACACTGGTAAATAGCTTAAAGTAATAATTAACCATTGTTGTGTTGCTGCCAGTGGCAGGGTTAATAGGATGGACTCTTAGACTAATTTAATATCATATTAGTTTTTATTTTGTTAGGTTTAAATGCTGTGTTTATTACTATTTGAACCAATTTATTTTCTTTTTTGAATTTATTTTTACAGATTTATTGTCCTAAATTGATTTTTTTAGACTTGATGCCTGTTCATCAACAAAATAATTGGCTTTTTTCCAAATTCATTGATAATCTTTTACACTAAATTTGACCAAAATGTTCTCTTTAATTTTTCTTTTCTCTCCCTCTCTCTTTATCGTTGGCAATCATATTGGACTGATGCACTTCATGGCATATAAGGACCTTAAGCACTTCCTTATAACCTAAGATATTGTTATAATGTTATACAGGCACTGTTACATTGTATACATGATATTGTTTAATGTATGCTTAAAAATCTATACATTTTGAATAGAGGAATCAAAAGATGAAGAAACCATTCCCATTGAATCAGACAATAACAACACCACAAAGGAAACCAAGGACGATATAAAGGAATCACATTCAATCCCCAATGAAGTATTTCAAACTATTGTGAATATGTTTCCTGAAAAATCTTGGACTGAAGCTGATATTAAAGCCAGGTAATGTGAATTATTCCTAAATTTGTATATCTAATATTATAGCATTACAAAGTACATGACTGCATTTGTTTGCAGGTATTTTGATGAGGCCAGTCGTAACAAGGGTCTGTTACCTCCAGAGTGTACACCAAATATTGACAGGTAGGTAGACAACTCACTGGATTTCTGTCAAAAATTAGAGCGGATTTCGTATGAGTGGGAAACGGATGGTACTGTACTGTGACCGTAATCGTACTGTAACCAAATTCTAGTGCCCCATTGGTTCACCAAAATTGTGCAGGCCAGGTCCGGTAACTGTGCGGTAACCGTGCGGTAACGGTGTCCCACTCATACGAAATCCGCTCTATGCATATACATGTACCTTCTTGGCTATGATGTATTTGTTATTAGTTTGCTATATACATTTGATATGAATGTACATGTAGTGTCATTATAATGGGATGTTAAAGTGCAAATGAACTCAAKTTTTTTCTTTAGTTAATAAAAAACACCAAGACATTTTTTTTTGGTGTCATAGAAATCAGGTGAAAGCTTGTTTTGTGTGTGTCTTGACATGGTATGTTCAGTTTCTTCATCAGAGAGATAAACTCAAAACAGAACATATGATTTTTCATTGTCAATACATTTATCTGGACATTCTATTTTTAARGTTCTGCATTTGATCTATTAACTATGATTCATTTGTACATTTTATTTTCAAAGCCCTGAAGCTCAGTCAGTATCTAGAGAACAAAGTTTGCATTCATTCCATATGCTGTTTTGTCGAAGGTGTTACAAATATGATTGCTTTATGCATGGTAGGTATCTTGTATCTTGCTTTTTTGAATGGTCAACCATGATGATGATGATGGTTGATTGTTTAAAATTTACACTTATTTCAAACCTTTTCACAGAATATTCAATTGACAATTTTATTAACTTGTAGCTTGGAAACCWTTACCAAACTTGACSAAACGAAAGGTTAGATACTCTATAATTTTTCATTTGTTTCAGCTTTAAGATTAATCATATAATCCAACATTAGTAGTTACACATATTTTCTTATTTTGTCAGAGTCCAGTTGATTTACAGGAATCATCTCCCTGTGGGGCAGACTGTTACATGCATCTCAAGGTTACTTGATTACTTTTGCTATTCTCATTGATACATTTATTACTGCTTTTTGAAAAAAAAACATAGTTGGGTTCCAAAAAGTCACATCACATCACTAAGCATGAAAAGGAGCATGGGAGAAGAAATRTTTTGAGTGTAACAGTGTTTCAGTGCTAGAGGTTTACTTGTGCAAGAATGAAATTACCTTCTCTATAAGCAATACTGTAATGAAACACGTTTCTAAAAAAAAATGATTCAAATTTCTAAGTACATAAAATCCTCTTTGTAATAAGCTTCCATTTTATATCCTTTTTGTGGCAGACAGCAGTTTTTCAATTAGGTGTATWTTATAATACTTTAAGACTTGCCTCAATGCCATTGTCCAAAAATAATTATTTGAAGTAGTTTTGCCTGTTTTTGTTTTGTTGTTGTCATTTTTTTCTCTCAGTTTGGTGCTAACCAGCATGCACTAGTATCAAAACATGTTTTTTTTAATAAAACACTTGACAAAACAAAATTTGTGATATCTAGAATAGTGTAAAAAGCAATTAATTATTGTCTTACAAATCACTGCATATTTTGTGTTTTCAGAGTGCCAATGGTAGCCCTGTGAACTCTCCTGGTAAATCAGAGACAAGCTCAAGAAAACGTAATAAAGGAAAGGCAAAATCAGGGAACCAGCAACAAAGTGATGTCTCTCAAGACATTTCAAGTGTATGCAACATATTACATGCCTTTTTATGTTGTTTGTTACATTATATTTGTTGTTTGTTTTGGTTATTTTTTTCAACAAAATATTCATGATAGAGTACAAACACTAAAACTGTGCAACACAAATTCCACTAAATAATGCTAATTCTATTGTTTTCTAGAGTACAAACATTAAATGTGTGCAACACTTTCCACTATTTACTACAAAATAGTGTTAATGAAACAATAGAAAACAAACATAATTTAGCAGTATTTAGTGGTATTTATGTTGCACAGTTTTAGTGTTTGTACTCTATTGTTTAATAAGCACTATTTTGTAGTAAATAGTGGAAAGTATTGCAAGCTTTTAGTCTTTGTACTCTACTTCCCTCATTATTGGCTAATTTATGTTGTAATTTATGTTGCATATATTCTAGTATTAAGCATGAATTATATGCTGTTATTGCTAACTAAACTCAAAAACTYAACAGCCTACCAAGTCAGATGTTCCTTTAGCACTGGAGTCATCTGAGTGGAGTGGTGCTGAGCTGTCTTTGTTCAGAGTTCTAAGGACTGTGTATTTCAACAATTACTGTACAATAGCCAACTTGATAGAGACCAAAAATTGCAAAGAGGTTTGTAAAATTGTATGTTTCTTACAGAATAATGTGAAACCCTAGCTGGCCTCTCAATGTACTTGTTTCCATGGATATGCTATACATTRCACTCAATATTGTTCTCTTACACTAATAGGTGTATCAGCATGCTCAAATTGAAGCTACCGAGTCTCTACCTGTAGCAGACGACCACAACACACCACCACGAAAACGGAAAAGAAAACACAGGTAATTTCTTTATATAATTATTTGTTGTTCCTGCTGCTGCTGTTGTTGTTGTTGTGTTGTGTTATGGTTGTATTAAATTAATTATTGTTATCTTTGCCTGTTTCACACAATTTGTTTTTATTTCCATTAGGATGTGGTCCCTGCATTGCAGGAAAATACAATTAAAGAAAGGTATGTACAGTGTACAATGAAGGTATGCGAAATCTCGAATTGATCGTTTTCAACCATTCCCATGACATTCAAAAGATAAAAGACTGGCGGCCATGTTGGAGGAATGAACAATAGATACTAATGAAAAAGCCTTTGTTAAGCTCCTCCAAGATGGACGCTGTGACGTATAGTGAAAACGGAGAATTGACCATGAAGGAAGTTGTCTGCGTTTTTCATCTTGAAACGGCTGTCCACCTAAAAATTAAAAACATTAAAAAATTCCAATGCTAGAATTGTGACATGCCTTGATACATTCTCTATCGTTCAATTCGAATTTTAAAAAATAACGCGTCCTTTATTCACTGAAACACTCCTGAAATTCTAGAATATGTATTAAGAGTCACGTGACATTTCTAACATTGGGAATGTCTTCAAGTCTCCATTATTTTATAAAACTGGTTCAGAAAAAAAACGCGAAATATACTTGTAATTATATTTGTTTATATTCATTGTTTATATCATTTCTCAACAGATAGCACATCGACTCATGTATACAACTACATCCCATGTGACCATCCAGGCCAACCATGTGATCAGACATGTATTTGTGTCATGACCCAAAATTTCTGTGAAAAATTCTGCCAATGCAACCCTGAATGTAAGTATTATAACACGATTTATAAGTAATTAGGACTAATGAATGCAAAGATAATGATAAATTGTTTGAAATCCTAAAAGTTCTGAGATGAARTATTTTATTTGCGCAGGTCAGAATCGCTTCCCTGGTTGTCGTTGTAAGGCGCAGTGTACCACGAAGCAATGTCCATGTTTCTTGGCAGTCAGGGAGTGTGACCCAGACCTCTGCTTCACTTGTGGTGCTGGTATTAATCCCTGTTTATTAACTTATTTATTTTAGTACTTGTTAAAGGGACAGTGTCAGGGGTTGACATGCGCAGTGAAGCTCTCGACCTTAGACACGGTCTGGAGTCCATTACTAGGAGCGTCCAAGGAGTGCATTGGTTTTTTCACAGCTTTTTCACCAGACGTGCCTATTTTTAGATTTTTGCCCGGGAAACTAAAGTCAAACAGTGAAAAAAATAGTCGGACGTTAGTGAAAATGAATTGATTGTTTTCTAGTCTTTCTTTAGTAAACGATAGCRAAGAAGCTACTTCTGAAGAAAAATCTAAAAATAAACACATGAAWACTACGTGACACTCCGGTATAATGACATGAACGCTCCTAGTAAGGGGCYCCTAACACGGTATTTATTTCGCGACATGATGGAATGTATCTAACTAAAATATTATCATTATTACGTTGATTTCTTACGTTTTTCACTAGGAATCTATATTCCTCGTGCTGCCATATTGGATTTGTTGACGATTCGTTGTTAATTTKTTCGAGTTTTCACAAGCATGCGCAGCTCATAACTATGTTCCTTTAATGATTGTTTATTTCTTTAATTGAGGTATTTTACTTTCATGGATCTTTGCCAAGGTTTGTTGTTGTTTCACGCTGTCTCCTATGCGAGAAACTAATGCTTTTAAAACTCTGATATTAGACAATTTTGAAGAAAATGCGGAAATCTGCTGTAAAAATGTCAGCCTTCAGCGTGGACAACGGAAAGTAAGATTTGATTACCTTTTAAACGTATCTTCAAGATGACCTCTGATTGGCTGAAGTGCCTTTTCATGTCTAATACATGAAAAGATGTCATTCAGTTAAGACTTGTAGTCATTTTAGAGAGGTGTTCTTAAACCCGTGAAATAATTTGAGCATAGRCCATTACACTTTTATAGTGTCTGAGTGAGTGAATAGTCATGTTTACACAATTAAAAAAAACAACGAAAGATCCAGGGTATAAACCACTGTATGCATGAAATAAAAACAGGGTTTTTTTTACTTTTTTCTTRTGTAGCTGTCGAGCGCTTTCGGAGAGATAAGGACGCTCGAGTCTCTCAAGGTTCGACGTCCTTGTTATTTTGCGAGAGCTGGGGACAATAAAGTTAAAATTATCTGGGTTGATATTTCTGGATCTACAATCTAAATCTAACCTACAAACATCTTTTCAATTTAGATTGACGCGTCATGTTTACCYATCCTCTTATGAATGTTGTCATCATTTCACCGTGTTTTATAAATGAGCATAGAACTCTAATAAGCATAGAGTAACTTCATCGTTTTTGCATTTCACAGCACATGTTATTAGCACCATCAGATGTTGCAGGATGGGGAATATATATAAAGGAAGCCTGCAAAAAGAACGATTTCATTGGGGAATACTGTGGCGAGGTAAGAAAGTTAAAACTACACTCTAATGTCACCTATTTATAATCTAAATGTGAGTTGGTTTCCTGCCATGCATTATATGATTTAAACTATTTGTGGAGTTTACTTGCCTGTATCTTATGTATAGTCGAACTATTCCAGGTAATATCTCAAGATGAAGCCGATCGCCGAGGAAAGGTTTACGATAAATATATGTGTAGCTTCCTGTTCAATCTCAATAATGGTAAGTCGTTCAATGAAAGTATCGTTTTGTCTGTTCACAATATATTTGTTAAAAAGTCGATAACAATTATATACAATAAAAATAAGGATCATGGATATTTACAATAACAATTAACAATTGTCTAATAATGTCCTTTACTATTATTTACATGGTATGTCATGTTTTCTTGTTTATAAAAGATTGACTAAAAATTAAGGACTGTCTGATTGGTTAATAAGAGCTGCTACAGAACACAACCGGCGCTCGCGCGTCAAGAATTTTGTATTTTCCCGCTCTTTTGCAACTTTCGCTTTTGCTCAGTGTTTTTATAGTTTTTATTGTTTCCTTCATAAAACAACTCTACAGAACATTTCTTTAAACAGCATAAACACTGACTTCGGCATCCCGCGGCAACAAATTCCGTGAAAAGACCTTTAGATTGAGGTTTCTGTTTGATTTTTGTCTTTTTGAGGAACCGAATTCATTCCAAATGGTGCAATTATTGTAGAGACTTATATTAAAAAGAAAAAAATTATTATGTTGTTTTGGTTTAGACTTTGTTGTAGATGCAACGAGGAAAGGTAACAAGATTCGATTTGCGAACCACTCAATCAGCCCAAACTGCTATGCAAAAGGTGAGCCAAACATGCTTGTTTGAATATCGTGACGGACTTTTAGATATCTAAGACTATTTTACAAATGTAAATTAACTAAAGTGTTAGAAATATCAAGAAAAATAATTGAATTGAAACATGATAAGAATGTATTATCCGTGGTGTGAACCGGATTGAACTAAATAGATACTGAATTTAATAAGTTTTTATTTTGGTGGTGGAATTGTCCTTGTTAGTGATGATGGTTAATGGGGATCATCGCATCGGAATCTTTGCTAAACGCGACATCGAAGCAGGCGACGAACTTTTCTTTGATTATAGGTAAGAATAATACTCATAAACAACATTATTGAGTATGCGCTGTATATAGCTAACTTCAGTGAGGACCTTGTGGTGACGGGGATGTGGCTTTCTGTTCTATGTTATAGATCCTATACTGATTCGATTCTTGATTTTTTTCTACAGATATAGCGCAACTGATGCTCTAAAGTTTGTAGGTATCGAACGAGATGTGGAGTTCGCAGTACGATAAATATCTCACCGCCGGCGGGAGACATCATTCAATACTTTTTTACTCAATTATTTATTAGTATTTTCTATCTTTAATTGTACGGTGCATTAGTCATGATAGAATAGCCAAGATTAAAAWWTTTTTTAACAATAKCGTCATTGGTAAGCTTGTTTGTGTTTGTAGAATGTAGTTCCACGCGTCACAAGTTTTTATTATTTCTTCTTCTAAAATTTAGTCTAAATTTCTTATCTGACACAAGAMATTTAGASTCCACGACATTTTGCATTTCCTTCATSATAATCACAAACTCAGGTGTCGATTGAGTGAGTACGAGGAAACGTCATCGTTGATCCTGGAACCCATGGTAGACGTAGCCAAGAGCCATMTTTAGAACATCAGTCTCAGGRTAGACCAATGTGTCGTACTGATTGAAAAACTTATTTAGAATATCAGCCTTTGGGAATCACCTATTTAGTAGAATACTCTGGGGGAATCACATGGAACTACGAAGCGGTGTGATATTTCCAACATTTATTTCACTAAAACCGAAGCGAAAAAGCTTTCCTTTTAGTGAAACCAAAGCCAGCTTAGAATAGCAATATCTCCTTTAGCAACTAAAGCTTTTCACTTCTGCTGTTAACGAAGATTTTGKGGCAGGTCAAACTATCCCGAGTTTTTGAACGATTCTGGATCCCAGAGTAGGCCTCATCTTACTGATTTGTTGTTGTGAGTTTTGCAATCGGTCTCAGATTAAAGTTAGTCGAATCGCCAAAGTTGTTCATCCACGAGACGAAATCGCTCTGATAACGTTCTGTTTTGTTCAGTGTTTTATTGGTCTCACTAATCATACCATCCCCGCCATACAAGGAACAACTCTTGTTACCAAGATAACATAATGTACATTACATGAATGAATATGAAAAACATCGATCCCCTAATGTAAGCCAAATGCTGGAGAAACCTCACATAGTATAGCCAGTGGGAGCCTAGGCTATCTAGTACCAGGCGAGGCTATCTGTTGGTTACTAAATATATGACTTTCCTTCGCACGAAGTCAAGCTTACAGCTTGTCGCGAGTGGTTGAGAACGTCTTCTAATAATGGCTTTTCTATCTACGTAACATTAGTATTCAGTCCCAATTATCGTCATTCAATGTTATCTAYTTCATTTTTCTAGAGAAAATTATGATAACATAAGCAGTCGTTATTTTTGTTCAATAGCCAATCCACTTTCTTGATATGAGCGGTACATCCGGGTAAAAAGACTATTCCTGTTTCGWAGTAGCTCTTCTGGTTTACCACTCTCTGCCAGTCTTCCTCGTTCCATGACTAGGACGTTRTCGCTGTTGATGATAATCCCCAGTCGATGAGCAATAGTTAAAACGGTACACGCCCTGAAGTTCTCTCTGACTTTGCCTTGGATGATCCTCTCTGTTTGATAATCGACATTAGCTGTCGCCTCATCCATRATGATGATCTTGCTACCTTGGAGAAGTGCTCGCGCCAAGCAAAACAATTGACGTTCACCAGCGCTGAGGTTTGACCCATTTTCTACGATTTCATAAGAAAGTTGCTGAGGTAGACTAGAYACAAGTGGTTTCAGACTGGCTTGCTCTAAAGCTGACCACAAYTCGGCATCAGTAAACTTGTTGAAGGGATCCAAGTTTGCTCGWAGAGAACCGGTAAAGAGAACAGGGTGCTGGGAGATAACGGAGATAGCGGAGCGAGCACGACGAATATTCATTTTACCGAGATCCATGCCATCAACGTATATYTCACCTATYAAGAAAACGCAAAATGAWTTTYTTATTGAATCGATGCACCTGTGAATTTATACTGAGAAAAACTATTTTGTAAGCTGTTGTTAAAATGCTGCGTCGATCATCTTTWTGCAAAGCTAAGAATATTCATTCTTMAATGCSTTCTTTCATTCTTCGTTTTCACTATACGTCACAGCGRCCATCTTGGAGAAACTTCAACAAAGGATTTCTCATTAGCAACTATTGTTCATTCCTCCAACATGGCCGCCGGTCTTTTATCTTTTGCCATGATTTTACCTTCTGGTTTTGGCATTTGGTAAATAGCCCGTACAAGTGAAGACTTGCCAGCACCGGTTCGTCCTACCACGCCCACCTTCTGCCCGTTTTCTAGTTTAAATGTTATGTTACTCAAAGCTTCAGGTCCRCCRTCGTAGTATTTTAGGGTAATGTTATCAAGTTCCATGTCGCCTGTGCGCGGCCAGTCCTTGGGAGGCTCGTACTGTATCTCGTAYCCAGGCTCTGGAAGAATGTCGTTGTATGAAACTACTCGTTCAACTGATGTCATGTAATTCTCAACCTCGGAACACTGACGGACACTGACTTGAGATGCATCAAATGCAAGCTGGGCTGCATAGATCAAAGATAATGCTGTGATTCCTGTAAAAATACGATAGAACCAAACAACGGTTAGCTAAATAAAAACTAGTTATGATGATTATTAACTTACCAGGCCCTGAATGGGTTGCTAGAGCAGTTATGACAACAATTGTCTCAAAGATGACACACAGTACATCGAGTCTTATGGCCAGCCATCTCACTGTCTGGATGACCAAGAACCAAGACTGATTGTGGACGTCCTGGTATCTGTACAGTGAAGGAATCAATAGTGAGGTGTATTTTAAAAGAACCTCTGTTGCACACATTACATGTGTTATATACTAGCACTGAAGCCTCTCCCGAACGAAGAGGATCGCCGCATACAACCACGGACGAACCAAACCAGTTTTGAAATCGGTTTTTACCGGTAATTTGTGAGTTGAATATGAATTATCTACATTGGTTGCCCTTCTACAAAGAAGAAAAGTCTAGCTGACTTCTCTAATCGTTTCAAGATTGTACTTTTTCTTTTTGTTTCTAGGATTCAGCAAGTGAGCCCTCTTTTGCATCGCAAACAATATCTTTCTCGGCTGACATTTTGAAATTCAACCATGAAAGGTGAAATCTCCTATTAGTGAACGCAGGTTATTACATTAGCCTTCAAAGACAAACTTGATTCTTCTAGCCAGTACTTACTTGTACAGTCTCTTCACAAAGGCACTTTCCATATGATGACATCTCATTGTGACCAGGCCTTCTAGTGTATCCGCAAAGTGTGCGTAAACTGGGCTCCGATTGATGGCTTCAAGTCTTTTAACTTCTCTGGATGTTTTTAAATAGTATTTACCAATAGTAACAAAAAGAATAACAAGAGGTATGACTGCAATGATTAGCCATGGATTCAGCACTGAAGGCAGAATGACAGCCCCCAGTGAAAACAGAATAAGCTGGAGAGCATCGAGAAGCACGTCGGGTAGGAGCTCGTCCATGCAACCTGGACGAGAAAATACCGATAGTTATTTGTCATAACTGGGTTAAATTTGGTCGACATTTACATAGTATTTGTAGCCGGCCACTACACAACTCGGAATGAACAACTTTCAAATATGGTAGAAAACAAAAATTTGGAAGGTCAAAGCTGGGCAATGTGTTGTCTTTTAAATGTGTATTTGAAATACCTACCGATGTCTTTTGAAAATCTATTCATGATTCGTCCAATGGGATTGGTATCGAAGAATAAAACTGGTGCTTTCAAAACTGCTTCAACCATGTGGTCATGGAGTTTTTGCGACGAATTCAATACAGATGAGAAGAAGAGTGCAGCGCGTAAGATGGACAGCAGCAAAGCTGTGCCCACCAGTCCACCATACACATAAAAATTAGACAGCTTTCGTCGCTGATCGGGAGCCATATTTGTGAGTCGTAGCAACCATACATCGGGGAGAATCAGAAAAGCTGTTGATAAGAGTAGAAAGAAAAACGTGTAGAGTTTTATAGAGTARTATAAATGTTAAGGAATTAACTATTCGAATTGTGCACGAGATTAATGAAATTTGAATTATCTTTTCCTACCTTGAACAGCAACAAACATTATTGTTAGAATGACTAAAATAAAAGGYTTCACCCCTGCTGTTAGGTACTTCCAGTACAAGCGGGAAGAGATAGAGCCCGTCTGCCGATCTTCTTCAGCAATCTGCAATCCAATAAAATTACTTTCTTTCCAGCTTTCAACTTCCATTGAGATGTCTCGAAATAAAGGCCTTGGGGTCTGTAGATGAGACTTGTCAGTCAGGAAGGCTAATTCTCCTTCAAACTGGCAGACATCTGCGTAGCTTCCTTCCTTTGTTATTTTACCGTTGTTCATGAGAATGATATGATCAGCATTCTGGAGATACTAAATCAAAATAAAACGCATTAGTTCCTTCCTGTTATCTGTATCTTCAAATAATAACAGTAATCCAAACTAGTTCTCTAATTGTTGGCTACCTAAACATAAAAAGAGTTCGTAACATTTGCACAGTCATGTTTGGCTWGGTATTTTTATMTAAGCAAACATCTATTTCAACTTCAATACTCATCAACYTGCTCACCGAACTTTTGATATGACTAAAGAACCTCACTCTCACCTGCAGTTGATGTGTAACCACAATTCTGATCTTTTTAGACAGAATTTGTTGAATACAGCGTTCAAACAAGTTCCTCCCTACTTTAGAATCCACAGCACCCAAAGGATCATCAAGAAGGTATATGTCTGCATCAGCATAGACTGCTCGTGCTAAAGCGACACGTGTCCGCTGKCCACCACTCAGCATGGTTCCACGTTCACCAATTCGTGTTGCATCTCGGTCAGGAAGCGAGTTAACATCTTTGCGCAAGTCACACGCGTCTATCACAGCCTCGTACCTACGTGGATCGTATCTCTTGCCGAACAAGATGTTACTGCGAATTGTTCCAGAGAATACCCAAGGACACTGGGATACATGAACTACCTTTCCTGAACAGGATATTTTCCCTGACGAGAGAGGAAGTTCCCCGAGAATGGCCGACAGTAAAGACGATTTKCCGCAACCTACAGGTCCTGTCACAAGTATCAGTTCACCGTCAAAAGCTTCAAAGGTTATCTTCTTGAGTGTTGGTTTAGTGCAGTCTTTRTTCCAGTGACAGGTAATATTKATGATAGAAAGCTGCCGTGACTTCATAAGACGATCTACACTTCCTTTGGATTTACGCATTCTKCGACTRCGTCGTTCCTGTGGAGACTCTACGCTTTGGTTCTTCTCCATTCTTTCTTGCTCGTAATCCGTCAGCAAGGACTTTTCGGATGACGACGACGAAGAACTTTCGATCTCAACGGTCTCGGGAACGACGCTCAGAGACTCTCTACTCGTGTCAATGATAGAACTTTCAGGGCGATTCTTATTTGCCACGCGTTCAAGCTCTTCGAGTTCCAAAAACGTTTGAATTCTCTCCAAACTTGATACAAATTCGCCGACACTAAAAGCCCCTTTAGCGATATTCTCACAAACCGATACGCGTATCGTACTGAGTAAGGCCACCACGACAAAAACATTGTAAGTGTTAAGTTCTGTTCCAGTAGCGGAAAGTGTAAGCAGCGAAATTAGGCTGGCAATGGCAGTCGACGAGAACTGGAGGCTTGGGAATGTAGCAAGAATAGCACTCCGCAAACGTAAGACACCAATTTCTTTCCTGTAAAGGAAAACGCTTGGTTAGCAGTTTCTCAATCAAAAATGACATTTATTTTCAGATTTTCCAATATCATCTCGATGTATCCTCCCGATAGTGTTACGTGTGGACTGATCTATGACACTCTTTTACGTAAATACGGTACGTTTTACCTGCGTATCTCCTGTACCATATCTCTGAAGGGCCATTCCCATGCATACATCTTAATGGCCTTGATTCCAGACACCACCGAGTGCATTAGTCCCAATCTCTTATCAGTAATCTTTGCCATTCGAAGCCTGAGTTTGGCGCACACTCCGCCCATAACGGAATAGTAGAATATCAACAAAAGCATGAAGAGTGCACCAGATAACGACTTCCAACCAATCAAATACCACATAAAACAAATGATAGCAGCTACTTCAGGCACACTAAGCAACAARTAACCAACCAGAAAGCAAACCTTGTCGAACCGTTGAACGTCACCTGAAACAAGGTCGAGTAGCAAACCAGAAGTGACTTGCGACAAAGTTGTTTCGCTTAGTCGTAATATCTGAAAAAAGTAAACAATTTTAATATTAATTTTTTAAGTTTTTTTTTATTTTTTTTAATTTTAATTTTAATATTAAAATATATAACCTTCTTAGCTTTCGATGAATATTCAAAACGTTAACAATAATGATAATGTGCTATAATTGCACACTGAAATTTTCCGAAACGTCAAGATTTCCCAATARGACGAATTTGTTGTTAACGGTGTCCAGATTGCCGTTGTTGATTGGTCGTTATTTTGCAACAAAAAGCTAACAWTATTAATTTTCTAGCATAATCTACGTGCAAATGGTTTGTTCAGAGTGAGTAATATTTTGAATATGAGGATGGAAGGTAGGGAACCTTAGTCTGAAAATAATGCAGATTTCTCCAACATTTCGTTGGTATATGAACATGAAAAACTGAATAAAATGGTCTTTTTGGATACCATTCTTCACAATTATCCTTCGTGAAAAATGAACATCCTTTATTTTGTCCAGTAAGACTTGAATTGTTTATAGTAAGAATTTTTGGTTACAATCGGCTTGAGATATATTTTGACTGCAATAATAACCTAAGTCAGCAGTTGGGCCATTTTAGTTGCTTATTTCTGTCAAATAGATTCAAAGTGTTAAAATGGTCACGGCTAGTTCCCATGAGAACCAATAGATTTATAAACAGCTGTTGTACACCTACCTTTTTAAAAATAACACCAATAGTGGCCGCTCGCCATCTCATTGCCGTCACTAGATTACTCTCAGCAAATTGCTGCAGTACAAAGCATCGYACAAGTGCACTGGTGCAWATACCACCTGCATAGATGTAGCACCATTTGTAGCTGACTAATGAAGACTGTAGTAACTGRGACAACAGTAGACTTAGAAATACTGGTTGAAGAACATTACACAGAGCACCCGTAAGACCGGCACATATCGTAAATAGATAGAAGTACCCTGGGAACATATTGATAAGCGCCTTCAGTAAATGCAATCTTTTATTGCCTGGTAMACTCTTGATTTCGTTGAATTCTTGTTGTAGTTTTTCAGTGAGTTTGTCTGTCTTGTCTTCATCATGTAAAGGGAAAAGGTCGTGGTTCTCCAATGGGCGGTTGCTTCCTACTACGAAAATACTGTTCATCCACCAGTAGGTCAATCTGGATAGCAAGTTTGCATTTGCTTGTGGATTTTTGTAAACCTTATTTGGCTGCCTCAACTGTTCGTATTTGGTTCCTTTTGCCATTGCTTTGAGATCTTTGAAAACAAGAAAATAAATTTTATATACACCTATTTCAAAAAACGTCGGGAAGAACGCGGGCGAGTGTCGAAAGTTCAACATGACAAAATTTCACTTGGGTTTACCTATAATAGTCAAGCAATAGGCCTTTTGCATCAATCGTTCACATGGTACAGAATTCGCCATYCTTGCTATAAAAACAATATTTGTCAACCAAGGAGAGAATTTTGTTTTCTCTATTTCTTAAAGCAACTGATAAAACTTCTACTTGGTTGACTAAAGATTATTTTTATAGCCATATGCATACTAATTGCCATTCAGTACAATGGATTTTGGACCATGTAGCAAATTGATGCAAAAGGCACTCTTTTCATTTTGCCGTGTGCTTTTTTTTATTTTGCCGTAAGCTTTAATTTGGTACCAGATTGCCGTCTCCCAGAATTGATTATTTATCGACGGCGCTGACTAAGAAAACCGAAGGCTCGGTATATGAAATTGGACATAAGACAAAAATCCCTGACCAAAACACGAATTTGTTAGAAACCGTCAACGTAAAACAGCGTCTTTTGGGCTTCCTGTGTTCATGAACAAAATCCGCCATATTCGATTATTGATTCGAATGCAGCGTTTTACAAAAATTTCGAAACATTTTGAACTATATATGCAGCTATTTGCACAATACTAATATTCGGGTAATTGCTCATTTTTTGTTAATGTTAAACTCAATAAGTGGCCTAATAACATATTAGGAAAATTTCTACTTCAAAGAAGTTGTTATCATATAATTATTTATTTCTCTATTTCGTAAAGTCGATATTTTCAATAGTGAAAATAACACATTCGAGGTTTCTATATATAGTGGAAGTAAGAAAAAAGGTATTTTACGACATGATTTGCTTTCATATGTAATCATATGATAAACAGAATATTACATAGTCGAATTTTATCTTCTCGTGTTGAAAATCTCATGCACTGGTTCGCTACGCTCACTCGTGAGAGATCTTTTCAACACTCGAAGATAAAATCCGTGTCTCCGCGCGACCCGATGTAATATCCACTATTTAGCCACTCAGCTCAGTACAAAAACCACCCACAAATGCTCAAGATATATTTGTGTGTAGAAGCTTSATATTATTGAAATTTTGAGAATTTAACAGACGTAATGAACGATTACTGGAACTAAATCAAGCGAATATAAATGACTACGATACGAGCTAGGATAGATTTTTTACCTCTGAAATATTATGAGAATTGTCATATTACTCATTATTTCTAATCTCCTAATTCTATTGTAAAATATACTAAATTATTTTTTACGAGGAGGCAATAAAATTATTGTTGTCGTATTTGGAGGGAAGAGTKAGTGTCTAAGAAGTAATAATGAAAAATGGAAAGTCATCMAATCCCCCACCCCTTCCACACTTGATATGTTTTGAATGCTCACTAAAGCTTGATGGAAAAAGTTTGTTTTTCCGTTTTTCATTTGATTGAAATATAAATMAATACCAAGGCTACGAGCTTGACTAAATAACGTAAATTTGATCTTAATAGCAATTCCGTTGTGCATTTTCAACTTAAAAACGCTCTCTAACAGAATATTTAGTTTTTGAAGGAATATTATAGTGATGACAAGGAATGTTGGCGAAATTGGTGTATAAATAATTAAATTGATTTTCATCTGACAATTAGTTCGACCTCAGCTTGTACCTTGAATTTTTCATAGTTCATTGAATAAAACATTTATACAGAATTTTCGCCTAGATTTCTACACAAAATTGTACATTTGTAAATAGGAAAGACTAAAACATCACTGAATGAAGTAAAGAGTTTATAGAAAAACAGTGTTATTTTAAATATGATTCAGCTATGGACAATCAATTACTGTTTGCCCGAGAATTGTTGACTCATCAATGATCCCGATCTAAATACTTGAACTGTAAACTGACGAAAACTCTATGCACGGTATATTTGGTTAACTAAAATCTATAATAGAGCTTACCTGAGGTCGAACGAGTACCAGTTTCTGCACTTTTTAGTTTCAAATCATGTACAAGGCTTGCTGGCAAACGGTGCCGGTTCTCCGGTTCTGCTGCCGTGTAGCGCTGAACTATTAACCCACGTTTAATTAAAAGTCTTCAAAATTCCATTACCTCTACATAGAGACTTYTAAAAGAAAACAACTGCTTGTTTTGGTCAACGGAAATATGATTCMCTCTTCAAGGTGACATTTTCATTTCTAACGCTTGAAAATTGCTTCTTTTTTCATCTAATAATAATAAATCTATTTCAATGCAAATCGTCCCTGCGAACAACCCATCAATATTTGATAGAAGATGTATTACTCTTYTGATTACCTTTGAAAAGATTGGTAAGGGTGCTCACCTCTCTCTCAAGACAGTATTCTTCGTAAAGTCTGACGCAAAAAAAGCTTAGAAGAGATTGGTAAATCTTTCAACTTCTCCACCCATGCAGGATCCGTCCTGTGTGRTTTCTTTTTCTCTAGTAATGGCCTTACATTTTTTGAGTATGTTTCGTGTCCGGCTGTGATTAAATTCAGCTAACAGTAATATTTATTTACAGTCCGCGTCTTTCTTTATGAATTTGGAAATCAAATTATCAGTAAAATGGAAAACAATGCAAAGGTTTGACGTTTGTCGTGGCATGGCGCCGATGAATAAATAGTCCGCTAGTAGAGTTTTACATGCCTCAACCTCGAATAGAATAGAATTTCATGCCGCTTCTACTTTGTTCTTATATAAAATCTAAGTGATAGCAACAAAAATAGCAAGAGCAAGTGTTAACCTTAAATATTTAATTTGGAAAAAATGACTACATGCAATGGCCTCCCAGTGAGACATTAATATATTGAACTGGCAACAAAGGCGTTGATGTAAAGACTAATTAGCATCTAAACATCTCTAATTCAACTGAACTCTACCTCAGAATTATGACCACATATAACGACACAATGAACGTTCAGGGCAAAATAATATTRTGGAAAGTATTTTTAACTTATTACACATTCAGACATGATTCTTATGTTTGGATTGTACGGCTATGATTTTGCAAATTATTGTCCTGCAGGGGCGTGGCGTTGTCAGATTGTCAAGTACCCACGMCTTCGTATGACCTCAAAAACTCTGCATAAAGTAGAGATTCACAGTGATATGTAAAGTTAACTCAGAATATGATGACAGCATATAGCTTGCTTTCTTTTTATTATTATCYTAAGATGAAT